AAAAATCAATCATTTTTAACTCAACCATTTTTTTTAACTCAATTTTAACTCAATCCCACTATTATCAAAGTTTTACTATAATTAAATAGTATCAATCAATCATTCTTACACAACACATCCTCCTTATATATAATTCCCGAATGCGCTGAGCCTACGTGGCTGCTTCTGGTGCTTTGGAATCCTACTTGGCGAAGAATCATGCTTCGTAATTAGGTTTGGACAAATAATATTGATATATTAGTAATTAATAATTTAGGTTCAGACATTACATAAATATTATTTATCTAATTTAGGTATTTTAATATCACTTGTACTAATATAACCCTTTAATTATTTGTAATTTTACATAGTGAGGCACTAAGTGACTAATATATCCCTGACTTTGATTTGTTTCCTCCAATTAGCTATTGAATTGTAAATGTATTTTAAAACTTGATAACTTTTGTATTTTTTATCGGTTTTACATATATTATATATCAAATTAATCATCTTTTGATGATCTTCGAGTTGACACCCATATTGTATATATGAAATAAATAAATTATATTTATCTTTATAATAATAAAAAATAAAAATATTTATTAAAATTTATTAGAAAAATAAAATTATTTATCAATTGATATATTTATTTTTAATGTAGTTATATGTTGTAAGTTAAAAATTATTATAATATAACACCGGTAAGTCGCACAAAGAAAAAGGGTTATACTAAATATATAATAATATATATATATATATATATATATATTTGTAAAAAGGTATTTAACTAATTTTTCTCATTAATTTTAGACTTTAAGAAATAAATTAGCAAATACTCGTGTAATACACGGGTGTTATACTAGTCATCTTTAATACATTATTCATCCACTCACTTTTAACTAACCATCACTTCAACTTCTCTCTATTACTTTTTACATCAAATCAACTTTAATTATTTTATTTTAAATATTATTTAATATACTCACTAACAACTAACCATACCACTTTTTTAAAAATTAACCAAACCAAACCAAAAAATCTAAATAAAACCAAAAAAATTATATCCAAGCATCTCCTCATTCTTACACGCGAGTTTTACTTATTTAATCGGTATTTTAATGTTTGTTTTAATCTTCTATTATGCTATGAATGATTTTGTGTGGATCTTGTTAGTTTGCAGAGTGGATATTTTGTTTTGTTTTGTTTTTTTTTTTCAAGAAAAAAATGTTTGTTGGGTGTGTAACCGACTCAAGTAGGCATTGTAGCCTCTGTTGATTTTTTTTTTCTAGAGTTTGCAGTCCTGGCGGGAGCCATCCAATAAGGTGCTATAGCCGGGGTCCGGGAATTTGTTAGTTGGGATGATCTAATTTGATGTTCAACTTTAAAATTGTGGGGCTTCAGTTTAATGGTTGAATTTGTAATGTGATTGGGAAATCGCTACACTTTAGCCCACTAAATGAGCCCAATGAATGGAAATATTTACTTTTTTTTGAATGGTGTAAAAATATTATACAGTTGTTGAAAAATATATGGGATTTTAAGCTCATATATTTAGTCTGCGCTAAAAATTAGTAATATGGGTTAAAACTCAAACATCTGACAAAAAACACTATAATTTATATGGGATTTTAGTCTTTTTATTATAAGTAAGTTAAGATATATGGGCTTTTAAGTCCAAACTCTTAACTAAATAAAACCCTAATTTCCACGTTATATTCTTTTGCCTCTTTTATCAGAGTTGCGCTATATTCTTCTGCCTCTTTCATCAGATCTGAGAGGTTGAGAAAAAGTGAGAGAGGAGAGACGGTCTCAGTTTCAGAGATAGATCTGAGAGGTTGAGAGAAAGTGAGAGAGTGGAGAGACGATCTCCGGTTCAAGAATCTGCGCTGATGCGATACACCACATGCTTGGCCACTTGGGTTCCGGCAAGAATGTTGTGGTCGACGTCCTATGTGAGGTCTGACTTTTCGATGGTTTGACGCGAGTTTTACTTATGCAAGTTTGTAAAACTTCATCTTTAAAGATTCCATAAGCTTAAAAACTAGCATAAATGTTTATTGAATCCATGATGTCATAAACTCCTACCATTTATTCTTTTCACATCGGCACTTATCAATTCAATTTTCTTTTGAAAAAAAAAATCTTAAATATCCTATGGCACACTAGTTATTAAAATAAAAATACTTAAGATTTCGACTTGCAAGAGGTACGAAGTTCGAGTCCTCTTGCCAACACTCATACCCATTTAAATTTTATGTAACAAAAAAAAATACAAATACTTATACTAGGCAACCTAAGAGCATCTCCAACCCATTCTCTATAGGAAGCGGAAACGCCATAGGTGGAGGGAATTCATCTTCAATGGAGTCATCTATCTTTGCAGGAAACGACAGAGGAATTTTGTTTAACAGTTTGGCAACCGTTCCATTGTTCATCTGCGATAAAGTTTTTTTTTTCCTTTTTTTGGTTAAAAAATGAAGTTGAGTTGTGTATTTTGGCTATTTAGATGTATTGTGGGTGGTCTTTTTTCAACTACAATTGGGCTAATTGAATTAAATAATTTTATGAGTTGAATTAAAATACTTTCTAATTGTTTTAAACTTAATTATTGTAATTAATATGGTAGATAATGAAAAATTGAATAATTTATTAATTAATATGATAGAATATTAATTAGTATTTTAATTTCCTTAAATAATATTTCAAACAAACAAGTTAAAATTACAAAATAAGAATAAAATTATTCAACTCACTTAAAATTAACGGTTCAAACATTAAGATTAAAATCACAACATAATGATAAACTAAAACAACACATCCTTAAAGCTCACACATACTAAAGCTCACACATACTATAACAACATAATTAATATAGAACATAAAAACAAAAAGGTTTATAAAATAGACGATTTCATAGACCTAATTGTCACCATAATAATCATTCAAATTTCCTCTGTCATGCCCGATATCGTCGAGAAATTCAAATTGACCCGTGTTAGATGATGGTTGTGTTTATTGAGGTTGTTGTTGCTCAATTTCTCTTTCTTGTAAAATTTGCATTTGTTTTTGTTCCCAATGTCGAAGTTTTATGGGATCCGTAAGGGAATTCAAATCTATCCTCAAAATTCTATCTTCATCCCTCCTTTTCTGCAAATCGATTTGTTGTTTCTGCAATTGAAGCTGGACATTTTGACGTTCTTCGGCTTTCTGCAACAAATCAACAATAGTATCACTTTTAGCATTTTAGAGTTTGAAAATATTGGCAAAATTGGTCTTTGTTTTTCTTCTTCAATTTTGCTTTCTTTGCTCCCATTGGACGTTGAGAGGATGTACCACCAACACCATCGTCACTTTGTTGAGGACTAAAAGACGACAATCCCGACTCTGGTGTTGGTTGTCCATCATATGGAACGTCGGACTCGGAAGAGTCATTAAGTGTATCGAAATCCCGACGACGAGATCGTGGTTGGGATAACGTGGTTTTCCAGGTATGTTAGGTAGCTTGGACTGCATGCACGGGGAATGCGAGAATTGCCCTAAGGCATGGGCTGGTCAATACTCTGGACATTCCGGAAAACCAACAATCATTTTAGCAGATGTGGCAGATTATGATCTATGGATATGGCACGCACATTCTGGTATGCCAGGTGCCAATAATGACATTAATGTGCTGGAAGCATCACCTCTAATGTCAAATCTTGCTGAAGGTATCGCTCCACCGGCTAATTATATCATTCGAGGTAAACAGTCTAATATGGGTTATTATCTAGCAGATGGTATATATCCAAAATGGTCCACTATTGTTCAGTCATTTGTTGCACCATCAAATCCAATGGAGGAATACTTTAAAATGAGACAAGAGGCATGTAGAAACAATGTTGAGCGTACATTTGGAGTTCTGAAAAAAAAAAAAGTTTGCGATCATCGCAGGTCTGTTCGTTTTTGGAAAAAGGAGGTGCTTAATGATATAATAAAAGCATGTATTATATTGCACAATATGAATCGAAGAGCAACGGGATCTTAGTGCACCAATTAGAAGTGATGTTCAATTTGGTGCTCCTACGGTTACTCCAGCACCGCAAGATTACGTCTATTTTCAACAATTTCTTGCTCAACACAAAAGAATCAAGGATAAATTTGCCCACTATGAACTTCGTAATGTATTGGTTGCACATTTGTGTGAAAAGTATTCTCATGGCAATAACTAGTGTTGTATTTTGTTTTCCGTAGTTCTTGTTGTATTGAATGATTCATGTTTGTGTTGATGTTTTTTTTCCAAATTAATGTTTTTGATGAAATCCACGTCGTTTTATGATGTAGTGTGTAATTTTATGACTTTGATTTAAATTTACTAATTAATCTTATTAATCAATAATTAATATATATACATAAATATGTAATCTTAGCAACCATAATGCATTAAAATGTAATTTGTAGAGATTATTTAATACACTAATTAAATTATAAAAAAATATGCTTGGAATTTTCTTTTAGAGAGGAATGATAGAAGGAATGAGTTGGGATTGCTGGCACTGTTGAAAATGTATAACTAGTTGGATTTTATTGTAGAAACGGAAGTATAGAGATTGTAGTTGGAGATGTTCTAAATACTTGAGAAGATTGGTTCAAAATAATTTTTTAAACCGGGCACAAATTATGAAAAATCCAAAAATATATTAATGATCACTCTATGCTCATTATTAAAGCTCTACTATAATGCCGTACCAAGTCATCAATACTACGTTATCCCCAACCACGAGCATGCTCCCTTCCAACCAACCTAAAGACACAATCACCTGACTTTCAGATCAATCAAATAAATGGGACACTGAACAAAATTAAGAAAAATAGAAGGTTACACACAAATAAAGTTTACGTTCCAACTAATAACCAAAAGTAGCAACACTGATCTATCCAAACATACAAATGAGGCAATTAATAGTGTTAAAATCCCAAGTACACTCCCACAAGCAAACATAGAAAACAAACATAACGAAGCCCGGCCCAACCTGGGCACAGCACTAGACCGTGGGCAACGAAGAGCCGGCTAGGCCAGGCCCAAACATCCCGCCGCAGGGCCCAGCCCGAGGGCTGCTCCCCGCACTGCTGTTGGAAAGGCACCCGAATGCGCCAATCTGGAGGACCCCTGTCGGTGACGACCCTTCTTCCCACTTGTCCATGGGCTTAACGACCCCCTGGCACTCGCCCAGGGCCTCCCCAAGAGGGCCCCCCACGGCAGGGACCAAGCCCAGGCCTAGGCCCATCGAGAGGTTGGCATGGGTTCCTTGGGGCCAGCTGTTTATGAACTGTCTGAGCGGGTGCTTGCTCGTCTCGTCTTGCAGCTTGTTATTATTGTATAAGGTTTTGAAGTTGAGGAGGGACGAGGTTTGGTTTAGGGGGTTGAGTAGGGAGTCGGAGCAGACTAATCCAAATTCATCTTCTTTCGACTTGTGTGCCTCGTCTTTTTGGTACAATGGCCCATCTTTATTTTCTGCGGTACCTCTGAAAGACACGGTGGATATGGTAACATAGGAAAATTTTTCAACACACTCGTTCTGTTCCATTTTTCAACTTAGAGTTGAGGCACCCTAAATGCCACTTGCGTATACAACCAATATATCATCATACACTAATATATGATATTCATTTGTACTCGCTGTCACGCTAGAAACTAGACGACCATAGGTATAAAGATATTCATTTTTTCCTTTGGAGAAGAGAATTTTTTAAATAAAGAAAAAAAAAAAAGAATGTTAGGAAACTCGTACTCACCGGTTGATATTGGGTATTCCGGATGGATGATGATTATTGTTATTGTTATTGTTATTGGTGGTGGTGGAAAGAGGGGCCGATTGGCCTTCCACAGGCTTTCTTGAACGATGGCGGCCTCTGTTGATGTGGCGCTCACAGTACTTTTGGTCGGCAACAACCTCCCTTGAGCACCGCCATTTCTTCCCGTCCGTCCTCCGGCACCGCCCGGGCTCCGGGTCTGTGCTCCCATATCCCACCTCTAAACCATACCATCCCACTGTACACGTATATAAGTAAATGTTCCAATTGGAAATTAAATTGAAAACAATCAAGGTAAAAATGAGTATCATTTTGTAGATCTTTAAGTTTAGGGAAAGTTACTGGAACTCCCCTATTGTTTCGACTGAATTGCCATTAGAGAAGCAAAAAACAAGAGCTCCGGATTAATTTTTTTGAAATTACAAAATCACCCTTCAAGGTTGATTTTGTCCTGCATTACATTTACAAGGGCTGGTGGGAAAATAAAATTTCTATAAAATATAAAGTGGATCTTTGAGCTGCTTCCTGATATGAGGGGGGCAAGGGAAGATAAAAATCATGCTTGAAGGGTATGCTTGCAATTTCAGACAACTTATTTACCGCAAGGGAAGATAAAAATCATGCTTGAAGGGTATGCTTGCAATTTCAGACAACTTATTTACCGGCTATTTTGTCGTCAGCCGGAACTTCTAGGGGCAGCTTGCAATAAAAATAAGAAACCATACAGCTGAACCACTTTACAAATCAACTATGGACCAACATGAACTCAAAGAAACAAGACAAAGTGATTGAACTTGGAATTCAATAGATAAAACGAGATTCGGTTGGTTCAAAAATCGACGAAAAAGCAGTGATTGAACTTGGAATTCAATAGATAAAACGAGATTCGGTTGGTTAATAAATCGACGAAAAAACGAACACATATTTCAACCTCTGAACTATTCACAAAAGAAGCAAATGCGTTAATGAAAAAATAACATTTCTTGTTTAAAAAAAAGAGTTGAATAGTAGGAGACGAGTACTCACAGGCACCCGATCCGAAACCCGGAAAGCCCAGAACGCCGACGGACTCGAAAGCTTTGCGAATCGGGTTGAGAAGATAAGAAGGTATAGGCACATTGGCAGTAATGTATTTGTAGATCAAGGCTTGATGCTCAAGCTCCATCCATTGTGATGGTGTAAAAGGCCTCCTCACATTTGATAAAACCACCCCTTCCTGCATATCCACTAATCCACTACAGCCATTTCCTGGACATGGTACAACAAATTAAAAGAATATGGCCAAAAAACAATATGACAAAATGTGAGAGTTTTACAAGAGCAAATAAATAAATAAATAATTAAAAAATATCCATTTTTTATCTATGTAGCCAATGATGTAAGATAATACACAGAATCTTTGAAAGCCCCCTTTTATTTTGCAACATTATCCTCGGCTTAGAGTGGGGAGATTCTCCAGTCCCGTTATGGAACCATTCCGTCGGGTTTATAACCGTTAGATCAACTATCCACGACGGTTATATGACGATCCAACGGTTACAAATCCTGACGGAATGATTCCATAACCGGACTGTAACATTTTCCCTTAAAGTGATTTTTTTTTAAAAGAAAACACCCCAAGAAAAGGGGTCAATAATTGAGAGAGCAGGGGAAGATAAGCAAGATTTTTGTGCACATTTTTTTTTTTTTTTTTATATCTCAGCCGACATTGACCACCTCGAGTACGATATGGTAAGAATGATAAAAAAGATAACTCCTACAAAGAAAGAAAAAAGCAGTGAACCATAAACCCCAATTAAGAAGGGCTCCAAAATTCCAGATAAAGACTGAAAAATAGAGCAGGATAAAAAGCCACTATATTCATTGTTTGTTCTTTGTTTCTTGTATGGTATGGATTAAGACACACACACACAGCTATAGAAAGCCACCTCAAGACAACCCATGTATAAAAACAAGAATTTTTCGATTTTTTTAAGGCTCACCGGAGTTTCTAGTAAAGCCGCTTGGCGTCTGCTGGTAAGAAGACAATGCCGCAGACTGTGAGCTCATCGGGGACGAGAAGCTCAGCATTTGCTGATGGCCATCGGCCAAATCACAGCCGTCGGATCTCTGTACTGACGAAATCTTCGCAGTAGTTTTCTTAAAGTCCCTGAAATCATCCTTGTTTACACTCACGGCCCTGTCTCGCTTCGAAAGCCCTAATCTGCAAAGCTGTCTCCGCTTGTTATTACAAGCCTCGTCGGCTCCGTTGGTGATGTCCAGGCCGAACAAGCCGCCGCCATTGTTGGGAGCTGAGGAGGTTGCAGAGCTCATGTCCACTAAACCGAAATCCATAACGAGGAAAAAAAACAAAAAAAAGATCGAAAACTAAAGAGAGCCCAGAGTTTTATTATTATAATTGTTATTGGAATTGTTGTTGATGATGGAGTAAAGGGTCATTAATTTTGGAGACAGAGGGCTTGTTTGTTGGGGAAAGTGCCATTTTTATCTTTCTTTTTCCCCTTTGTTTTGTTTTATATGAAGCTCTGTTCTAATTTTCTTGGTATTGTGGTGTGTTTTGTGTGCTATGTTTTGGTTTAGCAAGTTGAGAAGGGGAAATAACACTGCTGACTTGTTTAGTGAGTTTGATGTTTGTCAAAGGAAAAATAATTGGAGAGAGAGATTGCAAGGTTTTTTTGACAGTTACCCTTTAGTGGGGCTGTAAACGAGCTCGAGCTTAAGGTGTTTGAGTTCGAGCTCGAGCTCTTAAAGAGTCGAGTCGAACTCAACTCGTTAAGTAATTGAGTAAAAAATTGACCTCGAGCTCGACTCGTTAAGGCCTCGTGCTCGAGCCTTAACGAGTCGACATCGAGTTTTAACGAGCCGAACTATAAAAAATTATATAAAGTTTCACTTTTCGAGCCTTATCGAGCGACCAAACGAGCTTTCAATGAGCTCGAGCTCGGCTCATTAAGGCTTCGAACTCGAGCTGAACTCGAGCCGAGCTCGAGCCAAGCTCGTTTAATTTAACAGCACTACCCTCCAGTTATACTTATTATACACATTGAAGTACAAAAATAAAAGTAAAGAAAACAATACAAAATAAAAAATTATACACATTGATCATCCAACTCTTATGTAAACTAATTTTGTCTAAAAAAAATCTCTTTTTACATACTACCTCCTTTTTTAAATAAATGTCATTTTGACTTTTTTGATTCATCCATTTTGTTATGTATCTAGACATATTAATGTTTAGATACATAGCAAAATGGATGAAAACGACATTTATTTAAAAAAGGAGGGAGTATTATATAGTACCACTTGTATATTGTAGTTGTCAAAGTTATTCAAGGAGTAACCAATTGGTATGACAAAATACTACGAGTTATACACAAAAATGGGCGACCTACCGTA